ACATCAGAATGTGTATGGAGACTTAGACACGTGAGGACTGAATTTGGGGCCTGGAAGCCCTTCAGACAGGGACAGAGAATCCTGAGCTCCCTGGGGCTCCCTGAAAAACAGAAGCAACTTGTACCACCTCCAGAAATGAGGCCAGGGAATGGGGAGAGCAGCACTTCCCTTCTTGCCCAGGAGTCTATACACATTTCAGAGATATGTTGAGATGTGTGGGTGTTGTCTCGGTTCTACAGATGAGGAGACCAAAATCTGCAGGAACTGAAATTCTCCAACACTAGATACAGCTTCAAGAAATGCAGACCCTCGGGCATGCTGGAACCTGCCTATAATCCCAGCCCTCAGAGATAGAGGCAGGAGGATTGCGGGGGTGGGGGTGGCAGGTGGGGGGGAATTCAAGACCAGCTTCTGCTATACAGCCAGGCCAGGCTATCCTGGGCTACATGAGAACTCATTTCAGAAAAGAGAAAAAGAAACAGAGCCCTAATGCAGAGGCCTAAAGATGGTGGGAATTTCCTCTTTCTCACATACAGAAGTCTGCAGGCAGCTTAGGGCTCTCAGAGACTATATCTGCATCCACTAACCACTGTCCCACTTCCAAGTGGCACTTACGCTATAGTCTTAACAGCAGCTAGGGCTGGTGGCCACGTTTTTCTAGGCAGCTGGGTGGATGATGAAGCAAAGAAGGAAAAAGGGTGAGCACCTCTATCTTAAGATGCTGGAAACATAATCACTTGGCCTAAAGGTCACTGTCCAGATGTCAGTCACATGGTCACATGTAGAAGGCAGGAGGCTCGTGGGGGTGGCAGAGAAATATAGAATTATGTCAGGCAGCTGTGAGTCCAACTAACAGCTGGGGATCCCATTACTAAGAAGGCAGGGTAAATGGATAGTGTATTAGGTCTCTTGTTCCTATGACAACAACAAAGGCTGGTAAAGATGAAGGGGGGGCTTATTTATTTGTTTATTTCCTTATTTTGGCTCACGGTTTGAAGAGACACAGTTCATCATGGCAGGGAAGGGATGACGTCAGGAATGTGGGACAGCTGGTCACATTGCATCCACAGGAAGCAAAGTGATCGACACTGGTGTTCAGCTTCTTTTTCTTTCTTTCTATCCGGGCTAGGACCCTAGCCCATGGGATGGTCCTTCCCATGTCCAAGACCAACCTTCCTTCTTCAGTTAAACCTCTCTGGAAACACCCATGTAGCCACTACACAATGATATAGGCGTGGCCCCTAGACTGTTCCAAATCCTTGTCAAGTTGACGAGGCAGATTAACCATGGCATATATTATGAGGCAATTAGCCATTTCTGCCACAGGCATCATGTAACAGAATTAGAATGGGAACCCATGTCTCGCCCTCCAGGCCCTTTCACTCAGCCACACAGAAGGGAGGATGAAGTTCACATAAAACCTGTCTCCAAAGGCAAGGAGAGAGGTAACATTTGATGACCTCGGTGCACTGCCCCAGCAGTGCACCGAGGTACAGAGAACTTTCACTTTTTCAAATAAGGAGACTCACTGAGTGAGGCAGCACACACCTTTGTTCCCAACACTCAGGAAGCAGAAGCAGGTGGACCTCTGAGTTCGAGGCCAGTCTGGTCTACTTAGCAAGTTCCAGGCCAGTCGAGGTTACATTGTCTTAAATGTATCCAAATAAGCCAGGCAGTGGTGGTGCACACCTTTAATCCCAGCACTTGGGAGGTAGAGGCAGGCGGATCTCTGTGAGTTCGAGGGCAGCCTGGTTTACCAGAGCTAGTTCCAGGACAACCAGAGCTACACAGAGAAACCCTGTGTCAAACAACAAAACAAAATTCAAACAAAGAGGTGCTTGGAGGTGGTCCTTCGTTCAAGATCATGCAGTAACCCTTCCCACAATGGGGACCAGCTGGAGGTCCTTGCACATCCTCCTACCATCTCCTTGGAAGCCTCTGTGGTCCAGGAGGAATTAATATGACGCCACTCACTGGATCCGCTTTTAATGCTTGACTGGTCAACAGGAAACAAGGTCCCCGGTGGAACCAGAACTCAGCCCCTGATGGGCAAACCGCAGGTCTCTTGTGGCATTTGTGCCTTGGGGATATTGTCAGCTGCACTCCAGGACTTTGGCATAATTGGCAGGTGCCACCCCCACCCCATCTTGCCTCTGCCTGGTGGGGCTGATGGTGTCTCTTGTCACCTGTCACCCCAGCCCCCGGTTCTCCAGGCAGCACCGCAGAACCACGAGTCTTCGGAAGTAACATTTCTCTCTCCCACTCCCAGCCATTAGGTTGGATCACTTCCCAACTCAGAGGAACTGGATCGTTGAGTCTCCCTCAACCCATTGCAAATGCCCACTCAATGATCCAAGTCCCTGATCACCCTATGACCTTCAGCTGTCTCCACCCCCACAAACCCCTTCCTCCAGCTTCCCTCTCCACCCACCCACCTTGTGCATCTCTGAGCAATGGGCCTCGCCACAGGAGCCTGCCACATGCAAGGTCATCAGCATTCCTGCCAAGGATGGAGAAGGGGGTGACTCAGTTCCCGCTTGCTCATCTAGGGAAGGGGAATGAAGGAGAGGGAGGAAGGACAGAAACCCATTCAGTTTTGCCTTAAGCTTCCCCAGGAGGAGGACTCGGCTTTGCTGGTAGTGGAGCCTCTGCTAGCTCACAGGTTAAGAGAAAGTTGCTGCAGTTCAGATGGGACCGCTGGAGCCAGGTAATGCTGAAGGGCAAAGCAACCCCGGGTATCCCGGCACTCGGAAAAGAGTGCTTCTCTTCCGTCCGCAGTACAGTTCCTGCCCTCAGGAAGATGCCAATCTGATGGGGGAGACACAGTCTTTACAACAGTCTGACGTGTCACCCAGCTCCTCCTCAAGCAGTGTTCAGTCTGTCGAGGGAGGTGCAACCCTACCCCCAGGTGCCCCCCACCCACCCAAACTCTGATGGGGAGACACAAACCAAGTCCTTGAAAACTCCCTTTGGGCTGGTCTGGTAGGCTTGCTCCAGGGGCTACACCCTATAGGAGAGACAAGACCCTTACCTAGTTGAGTGGGGGGGGGGGCAGGACAGACCAGAAGTAGTGTCCCCAGCTAGCTTGAGAAGGTTATAGAGACTGACTTCAAGGTGCTGTGGGGAGGTCAAAGGGTTGACGTGAGGCAGGACCCTGACCTTCTTCTCTTGAAGGGCTCCTTCAAGAAGAATCAGTCTCCTGTGGGTGCTCCCCAAGGCCAGAGGTCAGGGTGCTTTATGGGACCCGAGGTCCATCTCTCCAGGAGATGCCACAGCTGTTGCTCAGAAGGGCAGAAGTGGGTATCCTCTTAGCCAGGGAAGTCGGGTGGACTTGCTACCCTTGTGAGGATCAAGGAGGCTCATGAGCTAGCTGAAAAGACTGAGAAAGACCAGAAGACCCCTCCAAGGAATCAGGATTTGGGAAGACATTTGTTAGCCAGATCTGAACTGAGCTCAGCCTGGTTGCCGGGGAAGGCAGATAGGCAGGGAAGAGGAGGCAGAGTGTGCATGAGGACGAAATGAAGTTATTAAAATGAACCCACCCCCTGTGCAGGCGGCACCGCGTGCCAGAAAGGCCGGGCCCTCCAGCTGTCCGCAGCAGCTGGCCCTCCACAGGGGAGGAGGAGGAGGAGGGGCGGGTCAGAGTGCCCCTGTACTCTGCTCTAGAGTTCAGTGTTCACACAGAGGTGGGAATGGGGGCGCCTCACACTTTCTTCTTCATCTGCTACGCCCCACAGGTGCCCCGGGACAGCGAGAGGCACAGGTGGGAGAACCCTCCAGATTCTAGCAGCCAAGGTTTCTCTTGGTGGGGGTGGAGGATTGGGAGAGAGCAAGCCCCAACCCCTGACTGTAGTCACTGGTACAGAGGGTGAGGAGGGAGAAAGCTGTGTAGGGGCATGTGTGTCTTGAGTCTGCTCAGAAGAAATGGCTTCAGGATGATTCAGGGCATAGCTGGAAAGGGAGTGTGTCCCCCCTCCCCCTGCCCACAGCCATCTTGCTTTCTAGGTCATTTCACAAACAGAGGGGCTGCAACCAGGTGAGTGTGTGCTGCAGTGTGTATGCGCGGACCATCTGGGCTCAGAGCTAGTGGGCAGAGGGCAAAGACTGGAAGAAGTCAGGCCATTGGCCCTCACTCCAGGATGCGCCACATTATGGCTACACTCCCCAAAGGGACCTTTAGACCTGAGTGCTGACCTCCAAAGAGCATAGACCTAGAGTGACCTCCAGAGGGGACATCATGGTAGGGGCTCCAGCCTTCCCTTCACTGAACCCCCAGATTCAAGGAGCCTTGCCTGGGCATCCATCCATTCTGATGCCCTCTCGGGCAGGAGGAAGAAGTGGCTACTCTCACGCTGTTTGTCCCCATGCCACCTCAGTCTGTTCCTTTTCCCCCAAGAGGCAGATGGGAGTCACAGCTGGAGAGTGCAGAGAGGAATCTCTTCATCTTCTGGACCTGGAGCCAAGCTTGCTTAGAGGTTATTGGGCACTTTTCAATGCCCAATGTCAGCATCTACCCAGGCCGGGGGCCCAGGTACAGGCCCTACCCACCCTTGCTGAGTTAGCGAGGACCCTGAAGTGATTCTCAGGGGTGCAAGGGCTGCAGGATAGAGAGGGAGAAACCGAAAGAGGCCGGTGAGGACAGTGAACTTGACCGGGCCGTAGAGAAATACAATGGCAGAGCTCGGACATCACTGGGCATCTACCACTGCGCCCTGCAGGGCCAGAGACCGCAACCCAGTGAGGACTGGGGGAAGAAGATTTGGCCCTTATCGCCCTTGCTGGTTCTTATCCCCAAGCGACCCCTTCCGGTGCTATGCCCAGCCCCCAGAGTGTTGGCTTGGGCCTCTGGCACTAGATCTGTCGGCCTGCAAAGAGTGTCAGAGAAGCCAGCCCCCAAACCGCAGGGAGCCCCAGCTCCAAGAGGTCTGCAGCTTTGGTCCCCATTTGGAAAATGCTAGCTAGACAGGGGCCCAGGTCCCTCTCCCCTGGATAACTCGGAATACGGTGCCCCCGGAAAACTTTATTCCCTGCTCCAAGGACAAGACTCTGCACACAGAAGTGACAGGGCATTTCACAAGACTTCCCATCCCTCCCCCCCCCACCCCACCCCACAGACAACACTAGGGCACAGTTCCAGCGTGGCCACACAGTCCAGCCTCCTGCACCCCACTCTGCAGATAGCCCCATGGCCCAGAGAAGGAGTCCCCATCCCTGTTTCGGAATGCCCCCGGCTGACATGAAGAGCGAGCTGTCGAGGGAGCAATCTCAGCAGGGTTAGGGCAAAGGATGGGCACACAGCCCACGGGCCGGCTTCTGCTTCTGCCCTTCAGGCTAAGAGGACCTAGTAGCCCTGTCTCGGCTGAAGGACGGGGTCAGTGGTGTGCCATCAGCAAGAGGGTAAGAGCAGGTGCAGAGGGCTGGGGGGAGACGGGGTTTCGGAAAGGGGTGGCCTGGCTGGTGAAAGGTAGTCGTGACAGCAAAGACCTGAGGGTGGGGATGAGGTCATCGCTCAGGGCAGGAAAGGGTCTCGGGGCTGCACACCGCCAGCTCCCATGGGGCAAGCCACTGAGCCATCCATCCTCAGTTGTCTGTCTGGCCTACACAGTCGGACACCCCTTTGTCGACTGCTGTCCTCTTTCTGAATGGCAAGGAGAGAGCCAAGGGTTAAGGTCTTCTCCGTGGCTTGATCTGGGGCCACCTGGCCTGCCTGCCCAGGGGCCTCAGGGCCCAGCATCAGCTTTGGACCAGAGAGAAAGCTCTGTAAGGCTGCCCAGAACCCATTCCTCCTCCACGACAAGTACATTCTGACCTCGGGCTGGGGCCAGCGCTGGGGACCGTTCTCCAACACCTGAGGCCTGGCCCTGGCCCACCTGGTCTCTCGTCCTCTCCACCCCCTCCCTTCCTGAGACCCATCCCTTTCCCTGCCCAGTGTCCAGACAGCCGGCCTCCTGCACAGGCCTCTGCGGCCCATCCAGGTCACCCAGATGGGTAGTAGGGGGTGTCGCTGTGGTAGTTGTAATCTGGGCACACCTTCTGCACCAGTCTGTAGTCTGTGCTGTAGAAAGCAATGTAGACACAGACGACTTTGAAGGGTTGGGAGCAGCTCCAGGTGGCCGAGCTCTGAGCGTGGTCTCGGGAACAGATCTTGGCTGGGTCGTGGGTACAGAGCGAGGTCCGGCGGCCTCGCTCAACCTTCTCCCACTCCATCCGGCAGTTGAAGATTTTGGAGGCCTTGGCTTCGATGAAGATTTGCTGTTCCTGGTGGAACTCTACAGCTTTGCTGGGGGGTACAAGGCTGATGGAGATGTTACCCTGGCCTGTGGCGTTGTGACGGAAGTGGACGCTGAAGGTTCCGTTGCCGTGGTCCACGATCTTCCCTGTGACCAGCAGGTTCAGGGCCACTGTCTTGATGTTGGAGTAGAAATCACCCCATCCAAATATTTTTTTCACTTTGGTCGAGGGTAGGGGACTTTGCTTGGGGCGGTTGGGGGACTGCCCAAGGACACCCCAAGCCTCCCCAGGTGGGGCCAGCAGCCCTAAAAGGGTAGAGTTGGCCAAGGGGCGGGACTTAGGTGAGATGTGACCTCGCTTCCGAGGTACCCTAGGCCGAGGCTGGCCCTCATGGTCATCATGCTCAGGGTCCTCTGAGCCAGGGGGGCCATCCTCTTGGCCACAGATGACCTATAGAGGGATTTGAAAAGAGAATTAGAGCTTTGTCTCCAGAGGACCCAGAGGATTTGAGATGTGACCCACCACCCTATCACCGTCTGCGTGGTCTCTGTCCCTGTCTGGCCCGGGCTAAGGGGGACATCTGCTTGTTCCCTTGTGCTGGGGTCAGGTGTATACCCTGGCTCTCTATGATCCACTCTCACGTTCCGATATATCACTCACCTCCATGTCCTTTCTTTACCACCCTGTCCCTGGCTGCTATTCCAGATCTGGAAGGTCAGGACGTCTTTCCCGTTCATGGACTAGGGTATCAGAGACACACAGTTCTCCTGTCTAGATAAGCCCCAGTCAGGTGGCAAGGGCTCAGCTTCTGATCTTGCAGAAGCCCCCAGTCTGAAGGGGAGGTAGAATACCCATCCTTGATGGTTGGGCGTCATAATGCCAAGGAGGCATCATTTCTGTCCTCCAGGCGTCCTTCACCCGGAGTTGGGAGTTGCAAGTTATTTGGGGAGCCCCCTCCCTATCTTAGGAGCTCCCGCGTGTCAGCACACACACACATCTCATGCCGTTTAAGACATTTTAGTCTTCTGGCTGAGACACCATCCCTAGCCTAGCCTAACTACTGGTGTTAGAGACAAAGACAGCCTACAGACCATAAAAGAAGAATCCAGAACTCAGTGACAGTCCTGGGCAGGTACCAGTTTGGTGCAGGTTTTGCTAAGACGAGGACACCCAGGTGTGAATGCCACACCCAGGATGGCCAAACTCGTGGAAGCAAAACCCTTCTCTGGGGAACACCGGTGATGACAGGCCGAGATGGCACTTGCATGATGAGGGACCAGTTCTTGTGAGTCCCATTTCACAGGTGAGGACATCAGGACACGCAGGTTACATCACCACAAGACCCGGGTCACAAGTGCCAGTGTCCCCATCACAAGGCACAGACCAGATGCACCTTTGCAAAAGACTTTTCCTAGAGCCCCGTTTCCACCTGGAGTGTCCTGTCAGACTCCGCCAGAGCTTGCCTCGCCTCGACAGGCTCAGCTATGGTGACAGGCCACACCTTGGGGAGGCTTTCTGGAGGAGGGTGGAAAGAGCCAGCAGAGCTCAGCAGGGGAACTGGGAGGTTGGTTACCTGGCTCCCTAGACTGTGGCCTGGATGTGTTTGCTCAGTTTCTGAAACCGAGTTTTTACCAGTGTGTCTCTGTCACCAGCGAGGAGACACCAGCTCAGCTACAACATCTGGATTAATGATGATGTGGGTGGGGCCGCGGGGATTCCTGGGGAGCTGGGATGGGAGGTTCCAGAAGGTTTTAGTCTTTATGCCTCTTGCTCTGGCCTTGGTTGTGTTTATGGCTGATGACCAAGCCATTATCTGTCCCACAGTTAAGGCTGGCCCTGCTTTCCAGGTTCCCAGTGCCCCCAGGGTCAGGAAAGGCAGGAAGGGAGGCTCCTTGGGCTGGGTTCAAGGCTGCCCACTTGTTCATACTTGGCTCTAGGGTTTAACTGAATGGTTGAGATAGTCAATAGCTCATTAGTGAACAGGGCCACAGGTAAGGGTCAAGCAGGAAAGGCTTCCTCCCCAACAGTGGACTCGGGGTGGGAGGGTTGCTGTCAATGGGAATTGTTTTGAGGGAGGGGGCAGTTCCAGTGGCGCTCAGGCTTCTCCAGGACAGGATTGGGGTCGAGGGCAGATGTGGGGCGGCTGGCATGGGTCGCGGGGGAGTTAAGCTCTGGGCCAGGGTCCGGGGTGGGGCTCCAGGGCATCCTGGGCCGCGGGGGAGCGGGCTCTGGGCGCTCAGCTCAGCGGCTGTGAGCGCCTGGGGCGGGAGCCGCCTGCCCAGGTCCTATGGGGCTCGGGCTGCGCGCAGCCGGGAGAGGCGAGGAAAACAACAGGCGAGGAGGGAGGGAGCGGGAGGGACGGCGGGAGGCAGGGACGCGGGGGCCGCCCCCAGTCCGCCCGGGCTTGGCGCGCCAGGGCCCACAGTTTGGGGTTCTCTGGGCCCCAGAGGTCAGAGGAGAATCCCGCGTCCCCTGACCGGGCAGGTTACCTGCCCCACCCCCGTTCCGTGCGTCCTGGGATGCTACCAGAGGTCGGGTAATCCTTGGCGACTCAGCTCCGAGGGGCCTTTTCCCTAGTGTCACTCGCACCTCGCGCCATCAGCCACGGAGTGGGTGGGCCAGCCGAGCACCCTCCTCCCCGCCCCTATTAACCCTTCCCGTCCGGCCTCCGGCCTCGGACCCGCCCTCTCCCCTAGCCTCCAGCGTTCGCCCGCATCCCGGGATGTCAGGGTTGGGGGGGGGGGGGTAGGGAGAAAGTTTCAGGGCTCCGCAGCTTCCCGCGCTCTCCCCATCCTCTGGCCCCCGCCCTGCGCCGCTCCCCGCGGACCACTCACCAGATAGAGGCTGCCCTGCACTAGGAACACGAAGCAGCAGCGGGTCAGTTGCATCTTTCTCCTCCGCTCTCACCGGTCTCTCTTTTCCCTTCAGGGTCCCAGGCCCCCTCTTCCCGGGGCTGCTCCTTCAGGCGCGCTGTCCCATGCTCGGGTCCCCGGTGGCTCGCGGCCCTCCCCCTCAGCCCGTCGCTGGGACCGACCCCGCCCCCTTCGGTCCAGCTGTGTAGCCGCCGCCCCCTCCCCGCGTCCAGCTGCGCGCCGCGCGGTCCCTTCTCCCGGTCCCAGATGTGAGCCCGGAGCGTCTCGAAGGGGCTCCGGGCTGCGCGGTGGCTCTGCCGCTCCAGACAGGCGCTCGGCGCCCCGCTCGCTTCCAGAGGCTCGGCTCTCGCCCAGATGTGCTGGGGACCTGCGCGCGCGCCCGTCCCCGGTGCTAATTCCCCAGACCAGACGGCCCCTCCCGCCCCGTCGCGGCGCGCCCCCTGGCGGACGCCCCGGGCCAAGCCGAGCCGCGGCCGCCCGCTCCCCGCGCTGCGCCCCGCCAGACTGGAGCGCTCCTGGCGCCCAGGCGGCTCCCGCTTCCTCGTCCCTCCCACTGGCGGCGGCGGCGGCGGCGGCAGGTACCGTGAGCCCAGTCGGTACCTCCGGAGTTAACTCCTCCCCTGCCGGCCCGCAGCCTGGGGACCTGGGACGCTGACTTTCCAGCGTAGGGGACAGGAGGCGGGCGGCGGAGCTCTGGGAGAGGAGGCGAGAGGCTGGAAGACCGCGGATGGGGACACCAGCTTTTCCGCCCTTCTGGCAGCGCGCCTTATTTTCTGTAGCAGGCATCGGGGATTTGTCGCCCTGCCTACCCTCACCCCTAGGAGTCTTGGAATTTGGACAGACAGTTCTGCCCAAACCCATTTTAAGGGCCCAAGGATATCAACAGCGGATCACAGCTGCTGGTTCCTGCAAGACTTGATGAGGGTGCTGAGGGAAGTTCTTCTAAGTGTCTAGCTCGCACCCCTTTTCTTAGCCGTTCCTTTTCTTCCTAGATGATCTCAGGACCTCAGAGCAATCACTACGAAACATTTGGTTGAGGCGCTGGCCTGAAGAGACCACTAGGGGCCAGGCTAGATTCTAAGGTTGGGGTAAGGGTTTGCATCCTGAGAAATAGAGAAGTGAACGAATGAGCAAGGCCTCTCAGAGGCTGTCCTTCCTTACCCATTCCCTACGACATAGATGCTCACCAGGCTGAGGAGGGTCCCAGTGGGGTCCCGGCTTGCTCTGGTCTCTTCAGATCTCCAGGGCAAGAAGGACTGACCTAGACAAGAGATTCCCAAAGGCGCAGGACCACCTTCCATCTCTACCACTCTTAATGGCTAGACCTCCTCTCTAGCTCTCTAGAACTCCTTCAGTCTCGAGGAAAAACAAAAGGTCGGAGGCATTTGGAGCAGCCCAGCCTAGGCTGAGCCTGTGGAAAGCTCTCCTCACTCTCTCCTGTGGCCCCTCTGAGATCCAGTGTGGTCCCTGGCTGCAGCCCCCAGCTCACACCCAGCCTCCTCCCCCACCATCTGCCAGGGTTGTGCGAGGAATGCAGATGAATCTTAATATCAGCCTGGGCCAAGTGCAAAGAGGGAGAGACTGCGGAAGGAGGTAGCCTGGATGAGCCCCATCTCCTGGAGGCCCCAGGCCTTTCCGGGGTGTGTGTGTGTGTGTGTGTGTGTGTGTGTGTGTGTGTGTGTGTGTGTGTGTGTGTGTGTGTGTGTGTACACACTCCAAGATTCCCAAAGCCAGGCGGAGAAGAAGAAGCAGGTACATTTTTGTGTGGCCTTGGAGCCTCTGGTCCAGCTGGGAGGAAGAAGCTGTTGGTCTGAGCGTGGGCAGCTAGTTCCCGCTCTCAGCTAGGCAGAGGTGTAGCCGGGCCCACTCCTTGCGCATTCCAAGTCCTGCCCCAGGAGAGCAGTGTGGCCCAGGAGCAGGAGTACTGTTTTCAGGCCAGACCCCTCCAGGCTGTGTGACCTTGGGTAGGTTACATCCATGCTCTGATGTCAGTGCTCAGATCTGTCATTTAGAGAAGACGCAATGTGTAAACCCAGTACCCGCACCATGGCTGGCAGGCACCGTGGGAGTGCAGTAAATGGAAGGGTTCGCTTCTGCACTGCCCACACATTTGCTCGGGCTGTTCTTCCTGCCAGGCTTGCCCTCACTCCCCTCTTGGACACTCCTGGCTCCCAGTTCCTTTAAGTTTCTTCTCTGCCTTGGTCCATCAGCCACCGGTGGAGCCTGTCCTCAGTACCCAGTACCCGGTACCAGGCCAGAGCCTGGGCTACGGAGATGAATGGGACACCATCCCTGCCCTCCAGGATCTCCTCGCCCTGTGTGTGAAAATCGATCATTATAACTCACTGCGGTGAGTGCAATGACATAAAGCCTTGAGGATGCACCAGGAAAGGTAGAGGAGGGACAGGAAGGTCAGGACTGACGTTCCAAGGGCGCTCATGTCCAGGAGGTCAGGAGGAGTAGGTCTGGCAAGGGGTAATCCTGGCAGGGGGTGAGGGAAGCTAGGAATGAAGTAGCTGGCTGTTCTGGGAGTGCCTCTTCCAGGGGAAGACCAGAGGCAGGGACCAACCATTGGGGGCTTATGTGTCGGCTGAAGGGGTCTGAACCCACGTTTATGGGGAACCTTGGAAGGGTTTTAAGGGACTGTTACAGTACAGCTTGCATTTTGAACATCTTTCTTTCGGAGAATTCACTAGAAAGAGACGGGGGAGGGGAAGCAATTAGAAGATCGGGGTTGGGGGCCTGAAGACATCAGCAGCTGGCAAACCAGCCCGGCTTTGGCTGTTGCCAGATGCAGGGAGGGGCGAGGGTGCCAGGCAGCATCCTGCTTTGTGTGACAGGCTGCAAGATGGACGGGGTGGGGGTGGGGTGGGGGGGTGTTGAAGGGGTGGCACCCTGGTGTATGGAGCAGGATGCTGTGGAGGAATTCAGCTTTGACTATGACATAGCTCTATGCTGCTGTTGGTCATCCAAGGGCACCAGAAAAGTCTGTCCTGGGGTGTGGAGGGTGCTGGAGAAGTTGTAGGCACAAGAGGAGGAGGAGGAGGAGCCCTGGGCAGCCTGACATTTAAAAAGTTGGCAAAGGAAGAAAATTCCCAGGTGCTCATGGGCGGAGTAGACAATCAGGAGTAAAGTGGGCCATGAGGCTCATTCTGGAAGCTGAAGGAGCAGGAACTCTCTCCCCTGAGTGTGCCAAGCAGAGGGGCAGAGTCACAGCCTCCATTATGCAGGCCCCAGGTTCCCTCACTGGGGAAATAGGAACCCAGTACTGTATATTTTTACAAGCCCTAAACCTCAACCAGAGGACACAGAGTAAAGTGACCTTTAGCCCTCTAAAACTATGGATGGAACTCTGTTGGTAGAGTGCTTACCTAGCATACATAAAGCCCTAGGTTCCATCTCTAGCACCCCATAATCAAGGCATGGTAACACACACCTGAATTCCAGCACTTGGGAGGTGGAGGCAGAAGGATCAGATGTTCAAGGCTACCCTCAGTCACATAGTCATTTTGAAGGATTTTTTTTTTTTTAATTTTGTTTTGTTGTTAATGTTTGCCTGCATATATATCTGTGTACTACCTGCTCATGTGGTACCTGTAGAGGCCAGAAGAGGGCATTAGATCCCCTGGAACAGGAGTTACAGATGGTTGTAAGCTGCTGTGCGGGTGATGGGAATCCGGAAGAGCAGTCAGTGCTCTTCTTTTTGCTGGTTTTGTTTTGTTTTGTTTTTTGAGACAAGGTCTCACAGTGTAGCTGTGACTGACCTGGAACTGGCTATGTAGATGAGGTTAGCCTCTTCCCTCAGAGATCCTCCTGCCTTGGTCTCTCCAGTGCTGGAGATAAAGGCAGATGCCACTCCACCTAACTCAGCCTTTGCTCTTAACCACTGGACCATCTCTCCAGCCCCTCCACAGTGACTTCAAATACAGCCCAGGCTGCCCAAGAGCATATCTCAGGTAGGAAGGAAGACGGGGTGTTATGGCGCACGCCTTTGATCCCAGCACTTGGGAGGGGGAGGCAGGCAGATCTCTATGAGTTTGAGGCCAGCCTGGGCTATGTAGTAAAACCTTGTCTAAAAGGAGAGAAAGAAAGGGAAAACTCTGTTATGGGGAATGTCGGGAAGGAGGGGATGACCCACAGCACAAAAGAACAAAGGAATGCTGGGAATGTAAGGGAAGGAGAAAAGTGACCCCAGAGGCCACCGAAAACCCATCGGCAAAGAGTGGGAAGACAAGCCACAGACACAGTGCTCTCTGCACCAAGCACCATGGCAGTGGTGGTTCCCAAGGTGGATCTGTCATTCAGGGCCACGTCTCTGTATGCCCCAAGTCCTTGCCATAGCATCCCTTGCACACAGTAGGTACTCAATGAAGGGAGAGAGACTGAGTGTCCAAGGCCTGCAGTCCGCAGGCCCCTCTGCACCCAAATGCTCCTGGTCCAGCATTTGCTCATCACCTCCTTGTGCTCTTGCCTGCTTCTGGAAGAGTCCTGTGCATGCTGTTCCCTCCTTGCCTCCCCAGTACAGCCCAGCAGAACAGCCCGGTGGGCCCCTGATTCGTGCTCAGCCGATGAGTGAGAGATAGAATTCCTGACTGTTGGAAAGGCAGACAGAGAGGCTGCCCTTAAACTCACTGTCTGGTGTGGTCTCAGGGAGAGGAGAGGCTAGCTCATACTTGTTAATAATCTCTCCCGTTTAGATGTCAATTTGCAATTTTAAAGAGTTGGGATGGAGAGTTATGTATTGGGCATTAGGGAGGCCCAGGGGAAAAAAAACCCAAACTTAAATAGGGGGGCCGAGCATGGATCCCAGAGAGATGAGTGGGAAGTGCTGTGTGGATCGGGAGGAGAGGGAAAGAACCTTCTAGGCAGATGAAGCAGATCGAGGAAAAGCCACAGATGAAAGACAGCCCAGGAGTGGGGTTCTGAGGGGGCCCGGATGAAAGAGTCATTTGTTCCATGAATAGTTATCAAGTGTCTACTTTTATGTCAGGTCCTGGTTGGTGTGCAGTATGGCTCTGGACAGGAGACGGTAGTTCTCATTTGCATGGAGAATGTGAGCCAGGAGGGAGACGTGGAAGACAGAAGAGGGGCAGGCCTGGGCTCTGAGATGCTGGTGCAGAGCATGAGGGAGATAAGTTCCAAGAGACAGGAAGGGAGAAGGTCCTAAGTTACCTGTGGTCCAAAGGATGAGAGGGCCCGGGGCTGTCAGAGGGGTGGGGTAGGTCTTCTAGGCAAAGGGATGGTGAATTAATCACCCGAGCCTAGGAAACCTTCAGAAGCAGGAACTAGAGGAGGCAGATGCATGGAAGACAGGAAGAGGGACCCAAGGTAAGGGGGGGGGGGCACAGGAGCAGGTCGTGGCAGGGGTGTGAGAGTGCAGAGCTCTGGGGTCTCAGTGGGTGCCTCAGGAGTCCTCATGTTGGCTTTGCACTCTGGAGGCAGCACCCCAAAGAGCATCCTGGTCTTTGTGAGGGGTGGAGCTGAGAGCTGGGGTGAGTCCGGGAGCCAAGGAGGTCATGGTAGCCTGAATTAGGTCAGAGGCATAAGGCTGTGAGGAAAGGGTAGTGGGCACAGGAGATGGCGGCTCTGAAAGTGTCTAAGGGGAAGGATGGAGGAGTTCATTTCAATGACAGAAGTTAAAGGGTCAGAACTGACCCCAGCTCTGTGGCCTAGGGAGCAGAGGTGTGGGAAGTGCCCCTGGGTGTTTGGGACCCAGGCACTGTGAAAATGGATGAGGGTGGAGGTCAGGATGCAGAGAGCAGACCAGCACGTGTGCGAGCCTGGAGACTCGTCGGAGTGAGAGCTGGAATTGCTGACTAAGGGCAGAGCTCCAGGGCGGGTGCACATTGGGACCACAGAGGCTGTTCTGTAGGAAGTAATGAGAAAAGGCGGGGAGGTGCCCTCAGAGGACCGGTGACATGGAATGCCTTGAGGGAGACCGCTGAAGTCTCAAACTGTGCATGCCTTAGGCTCCAAGGGGGTGGGGGGTTACCTCGAGTGCTTCCACAAGCCTTCACCATCCAAAGGGACCTTTTCCCGGGGAAAGCATAGTCTATTCACTCTGGTTAGGTGTCTGGCTCTGAGGCCCCACCCCTCGCCATCTTGGTCGGCCTCTCCTCTCCCTAGATCTCAGCTTCTTGAGGGTATGGAGAGCTTCAGCCCCCCTCTCTCAGGGTCTTTGTCTGGATGTAGCTGGTGAAGGTGCTTTGTAAACTGAACAAAAGGAGAGTGTTGGAGCTCTTTCCATTTCAGCATCTTGGGAGGTGAAGAGTGAAGAGGAGAAAATGGGCATCTGGCACGGAGCCAACACCTGGCGCCCGGTCAGTGGCAACCCCCTCAGCCACCTGTCGGCTGGACCCAAGTCACGGTGGTTAGCGAGAGCATTCCAGGGGGCGATGGTGAGACTGAGCGCGGGTGTGGTGCGAGGATGCGCGTGGCGTCGGCGCGCCACCTGGTGGGCAGTCTGGGAAAGGCACGGTCCCCTGGCTGCGGCGCAGTGGCCG